AGACAATAAACAGTTCAGAACAAGATGTTTTAGATACGTCTGCCAATATTTTTTTGTTCTAGTCAATTAAAATTAAAATAAAAACTATATTGTTAGCTAATCAGGTTCAATAAACTATAACATGAAACAACATTAGCCTCTAGTATATGCATTCCCAAATATATAAATCTTTTGCTATGCTTCGAACAATTAAAAAATATTAACTATTTAATTGGCAAATCACGAGTTATCTGAACAAATATTTTTTTTTTTATATATAAATTTTACTATAAGCTCGAATATGGAGCACACCTATCTAAAACTTTTTTTTTACTAAGTAAATCACTTTTGAGCTTGTAACAAAAGTTGTAAAGCTAATCAAGAAGCATCTAATAGTAGTAAGAACATTAAAAACTTCTTTTTCACATATAAGATTTCTTTAAAAAAAATCAATTTTTTTTAAAGAAATTTTATATATGAAAAAGAAGTTTTTAAAGATTTCTCAAGAACTACCAGGCTGATTTTAATGTTCTTACTACCATTAGATGCTTCTTAATAAGCTTTACAACTTTTGTTACAAGCCCAAGAGTGATTTACTTAGTAAAAAAAAAAGTTTTAGATAAGCGTGCTCTATATTTAGGCTTATAGTAAAATTTATATATAAAAAAAAATATATTTGTTCAGATGACTCGTGATTTGCCAATTAATATATCATTTTAAAATAAAAGTATAATATAAAAAAAAAATAAATAAATAAAAACAATAAACATCTATTTGTTGATTATCTAATCATACTGCAATGAGATTGATGTTTCAGATAATACTAAACTTGTTAGTAGAAATCATAAGCAATTACCAATACTTAATCATTAATTATCAGATTACCAGTTACCATTTAGATAAACAATAATATCAACTAGATATTAGTGAAAATCATAAACAATTACTTTTTTATAATCACTAAATCCCCAGTTACTATTTAGCTAAATAATAAATATTGACTAAACTCTTGACAATTATCAAAAACTGGTGATTTTTAAGGGAAAAACAAAATAATAAAATCTTTGATTATGAACAAATAAACATAATTATAGTAGTGACCAAAATATACACAAAAACAAAAATTTTTTTAAAAAATAAAAAAAAATGTTTTATTAATTCATAGGGTTTTAAAATTTATTGCACGTGCAATATATTGCACCCCTTCTGTTATATCAAAATTTTTACTATGAAACTACCTTTGAGGTTCTAATAAAAAAAATTCTCCGTAAAATTTTGATATAACCTATACCCCTGCCTTATCCCAAATAGTAACCCTAATCCTAACATTAATCAAAATTTATTTTTTGTTTTGGTAAAAATTCTTTCGTTACACAAAATTAATGATCTTCACATAGTTATAATAGGGGTGCAATATATTGCACCATGCAATAAATTATAAATTCCTAATTCATATAATCTACATGATTATACTTACTATATCTAGTTATACCAACTAAAAGACTAATACTATATATACAACCTTAAAAAAAAGAAAAAAGATATTTTGCTAATAAAAACATGTTGCTAAACAAAAAACAAAAGTTGCAAGAAAAAAAGAAGTAAAAGAAAATACTTGTTTTGATCAATAATATTTGTTGATATGTTGATCAAAAATTGACCAATCAAATCAATTAATATATGAATATCATATTACACAACCGCGTAAATATAATTTACATATCGCTATAAGAAAATTTAATAAAGCAATTTATTTTTATGCTTCGGATTTATATCGGTTTCCGATTCCTAGTATATCTACAGAAGTTCTGGTAGAATTCGCCGACAACCATTTCGCCGACAGCCGCTTCGCCGACAATCTCCAGCCAACACTAACTATAAAGCAGGCCAACCCTAACTAAATCGGGTCAAAATTTGTCGGCGAAATTGCTGTCGGTGAAATGGTTGTCGGCGAAAAACAGCGTCAGGACACAGGATCGATTTTCAAGACAAACATTCGCTTTGCAAATCACGTTTATTTCAAAACTTAGTAAACCGCCTTTAGGGTTCTAATAAAAAAACTCCTCAGGCAACCCCTTCTAACCCTAAAATACGCACGAACCCTAACATAAATGTGCCTTTTTGTTCGACCTTGGAAAATCACGTGAACGGAAAATCGATCCTGTGTAATCGCATCTACAGATTATATACATGTTAAATAAAAATATGTTTTAATCATTTTTTTGGGCATAAACTGAAACTATAACATACTGGAAACTTATTTTATCGTATCGTACCATACAATAATACGTGTAAAATACCAGAGTGCAAATCGTAAGAATTCTATTAGCTCTTTTAAAAAATTCGAACCATCTGCCATAAATGAAAAACGTATATAAAACACGACACACGTCCTCATGGTAAAAAAACCATGGAGGTATGTATACTTTACTAGGTACTTTATAAGTTTGATTATATGCATATTTTAATTAACATAACAAACAGACAAATGCATTTTTACATATCAGCTGTACTTGCAAAATTCGTAGGAATGATAATTGCAGATATTTAAATAGCTTTTTATTTAATGCATTTTACAATAAGTAAACGCACAATATACTATAAGTGGTCTCGTTTCTTTGCTGTTCGATGATACGGCCGTAAAACCCATTCAATATCGGCAGCCTTCAGATCCACCGTTCCCAGTTTAATTTCATATACTTGTAATAAAATGATAGAAATGTAATTATTTCTTAAGCAAGAATTAAGAACGAATTATAAAACTACTTACTTCTCATTTCAAATCGAGGACCTACTTCAGCAAGTTGTACTTCCTTATTATTGATTTTCACATACACATGATGCCTAGATTGTAATATATCTTAATGTAATGGTGTCAAAAGAATTAAATCCAAGAATTCGTAATTTTCTTACCGAAAAGAAATATAATCATTTTCATTAGCAAATGTTAATACTCTTTTACTATCATCCTTCGGAACTGGAAATAAATATTTAAGAATATTTGTAACCTACGTATAAAAAATAAAGTCTAAAGTCAGAACTAAAATATAACTCATTTTTTCTAGTGAAGATTTGATATAGTGAAGAATTTTGAATTAAGAAATTATTAAACTTCAACTCGATATAGTGAAGTACCTATAGTATTCTCTTGATATAAGCTATAGTGAAGACTTATTCTCAACTCGATGACTTCACTATAACGTGAGTTATATGCGATTGCTAAGAATAACTTTACTCACTCGGTGGCCCAAATTAGAATTGAAATTATGGAATATTAAATGAGGATATACTTGTGAAACAGTGCCTTCATCCTGAATATCATGACGAAGAACGACATTATGAAGAGAAAAATACGCGGTAGGTCCATAGGGAAAGTGACATATCACCATTCCATCTAAAACAAAAGGAGAGAATTTAATCTTTACAGTTATTATATCAACTAAATTAAAATGAAATTTTATATGGAAAAACAGAATTTACCTGGTTCTCCACGATGTTCATGTAATATTATCAGATCGGTGACTTCATTGGCTCTGCAAGCGTCGACCATATCTTTAATAACATAATTACCGCGGTTTATACGTTGTGAATTTGGAATAATCAAACGCATTTCCTTTATAAAAAAATAAATAGGTAAGTTACAAAATAATCAACTATAGAAATAAAATAATTCATAAATAGTGTTTACTACCTTTGCAAATTGAGCGAGCCTGCTACTTGGATCACGTGAAGTTGTGATTAGCACTTTGGGATCATATATTCCAGCTCGGGCATACTCATCATCAATGTGTGAAGATGGAACTAAATAATGCAATTAGAATTGAATTTACCGTACAATAGATTAATTTAAAAACAATTTAAAAACTTAAATACCAGTTTGTGCTTCATCGAAATTGAGGTCTTTTTGGAGTTTTGCAGCTTCCTGACGCAATTCACCAGGTATTGGCTTTCCTTCTATTATAATTGAAAACGGATTGATAAATAATGTTTGAACAATTCTCTAATTTTTTCTAATGCATGATATGACCTTTAATAGCTTCTTTTATTTTTTGCTTTCTCTCATAAATTTGTTTTTCCTTATTTTCCAAAGACTTTCGATACAAATACTCTCGCCTAAGGCGCGTTTGCCTGCGAATCTTTTAAAGCAAAATCATTTAAAGAAAGGAAGATAATTTGTATTTTGAAGGTTTAAAGAAGAACATACCATGTTGAAAGCTGACAAAAATTTTTATAGTCAAGATTGTGCCCATTGCTATATCATGGGACATCGAGGTGTCCGATACACTGATTAATAATTCCGGGTCGGATTCATTGGATTTAGGCCTGCATTTAGCAAAACTTTTAGTACAATTAGTTAATTCCGGCACTGCCGATCATGATTTCCTTATATGAGTTGATTGTTATATTCGACTTAAAAATATTATATCGATATGTATTATCCTTTAACTGTTAAAATTTACTGTAAATAATTATATTTGCAATTGCTTTTTTTTTAGCATTTAATTTCGAAATTTCAATCAATTTATAAGACCTAACTGTAAAATTACAACTCTTAATACGAACAATAAATACACCGATATTAAAAAGGAGCATTTTATTCTCAAAAAAAAAAAGGAGGAAAGAAGTGGTTTCAAGAATTATACAAAAAATTATTGTTTTTTCTAAAAAAAACAGGCAAATGTTTTTATATTCTAAAAATAAACCAATTACAAAATTAAAGTCCATCACCTAATTAGATATTTCTTTTTGATATGTACGGCTTGCTTTACTGTATATTTCTAATTTTACGTTATAATTATTATATATATTCTATTTTTTTTTTTTTTTAGCAGTGAAAAAAATATGAATTTACTAAAATCCAATATTTCATTCAACAAATTAGGGAAAAAATCGGAGGTTTTGATTTCAAAGATATACCTTTGTGTCTAATTAATATTTTTATCCTTAATGTCCTTCCAAAATACATTGCTAGGAATTAACGATTCATTATACATAAAATTATGTGATTTATATATTCCAATCTATTCCAATTTCCAAGGCGTTAAAAAGCCTAACGATGAAGCCCATAACGAAGGTTTAACAACATCAGAACCATGTGGATGTGAGTTTGACTCAACGTTACTCTTCGCCCTAGGCGTGTTGAAAGTATCATCAGATTTATTCGGAGATGGAGTTCTGAAATTCGGCGAAGATCGACGACGAATAACTCGCGCTCTTTCAGTAGAGTTATTTAATTGAGCTCTTGAACCATCTCTTTCATCAACTACGCCGTCTTCGTTTGGCGCATCAATTTGAAAATGAATTCTACTAGAAGAAATCACCGGACAACTTTTACGGTATTCGTTCGTAAACTTTGACGATTCAGCGTCACCTATCCCCAATAATTCTTGAAGCTCGTATAACAGCATTATTGTAGAAGAAGTAGGTGATGTATCAACATTATTGTTAGTAACAGTATTATAGGTATTATAAGTATTATGCGGTATAATCCCATTCTGCCCATCTTGAATGGAGAGTAATAATCCAAGACCTTTTCGTTCGAAAGGTTGTGGCGTAGGTTTTTTATTATTTACAGGATCTTGCTTCGCAGTATCTTGCTTTGCAAGGATCAAAAGTTCTTTAATAACTTCTCGGACACGTCCACCATTTTCACAAATAATAGATTTTGATTGCGTTGTTTTTCTTTCAGAAATTATTTTTGAAGAATTTTTTAGCTTCGGGTCTACCGAAGTTGGAGTGTTTTGAGAATATTTTAATTTAGGATCCGTCGAATGTTGTGATTTTAATTTTGGATCCACAATAATTTGATTCACTGAAGTTTTTATTTTTAATTTTGGATTCGTTGAAATTGATGTATCAATATTACTTCGCGTCTTTGATTTTTTTGACTTTTTGGATGATATAGTGTTGATAGATTTGTTTTCTAATTCCTCCAACTTTGCATCCAGATTTTTAGATTCTATAGATGTATTTGAATGTGATGACTGCGTTAATATCTCATCATAATGTTCTATTGATTCATTCAAGAGGTCCTCGTTTGGAGTATCTGATTCGTTACAACTTGTATCTATTAAATTAAATTGTAAATATATATATATATATATATATATATGAATTAATATGAATTAAATAATTTCCAATATAAATATTAAGCATTTGAACATTTGAAATGAACTGACAAACCTAATTGTGCATTAGGTAAAACTTTAGTTCCAATGTCTTTTGCCGAACACTCGAGGGCTTCCTGTGCATCTCGAAGTAATTCATCTATAAGGAGACATATTCGTTTAAACCGAACATCGTTATCTTTTTCGATTTCTGCCAAGTCCGTCTGAGGATAAAAAAATTTTATTTTATTTGATTATTATTTTATTTTGCTTTTATTTTATTTTATTTATTTTATTTTTTTTTTTTTTAATTCTTAAATTTGTTTACAACTACCTCTGATAATGGCGTAGACAAATCATCATCATCATCAGCATAAACCTCAGACATAAATGAGTCACTACTAAAAATTTTGAATAACAATAATAATATAAATCAAGATAATTAGTAAGAAATTAACTTGTAATAAAAATAAACATAAGTTATTAAACATACACTCTAAGCATTCTTTTCAATTCTATTATTTCAGCAGCTTGCTTTTTATTTGTTTCATCCAATTCGGCATTTATCGTCATTAAAGATTTTATAGAGATTTCCAAATCAGCTATCTAAACGCGATGAACAATTAACATATGTTGATAGTTAATATTTTTAGCCATTCTATGATATAAGAAGGCATAATCTATTCGTGTTCTAAATTACTTAATAACAATTTAATGACGTGTATTGGGATTATTATTTTCATGGCATATAATTACACATAAATAATGAATAATAATAACTCACCTTTCTATTCTTTCTTGCCTCATCAGCTTGTTGTGATTGACGATTCGCGAGATCAAGATTAGATTTTTCAGATGAAGTTCCGAGAGAAGATTTTGGTCGTACACGTATTATAGCATCAGACATGATTGAAGGAGTCTTAGTAAGAAAGCTCATGCCACTCTGTACACTTATATTCGAATTTGCAGATTTATTACTCTGACTGCTATCTTTATCAGAGTCAGAAAAAAAACCGTCGTCAGACCTAGCCTTTTCTTTATCTGATAAACTAGATGTATTAATTCGAGCGACGCGAGGCCTATTCGAACCGGAAGTGGATTTATTGCGCAAATACGAAGGTGGTGGCACGGTCGCTGTTCTAGGGTCATTTTTAACTCGCGGTCTACGAGGCTTAGAAAGGTTCGAGTCTCGCTCCTGTTTCTCCATCAGTACAACTTCTTTTTAGGAACTTCACTACTGGTGATGAAAGAATAACAGTAAGCTATTTACAGGCGGTATAAAACGCCAATTTTAAGTTGAAAGCTCTTAACAAGACAAGTATTTTTAAGATCAATTGTCAGGGTTTACGAGACTTGAGTTAATTCTTGAGTCAAAAGAAAGTTTAATAAGAAAAGCAAGTCTTGAAATACGAATATCAGATATAATAATAGAATAAAAATTTTGGACCCTGCCGAGGAAAAATGAGAAAATACTGGCGATTTGTCACTAGTAAGT